CAAATCATTGCAGATTGTCAGCTCAGTGCTCACTATAATATAAAACTACTATCTCGGACTATGAACTGGTGTTGTGTGACCTCTGACCTTGCCCACCCCCAGTCCAACACCGGTACCTCCGCATCATACTTTTAAAAGGTGGTAGAAGCAGCAACCCTTGTAACATTTAAGAAGTATTTAGATGCACAATTGTGATGCTATATACAAGCTCAAGTGCTGGGAAATGGAATTAGAATAATTAGATTGTTGTTTTTGACCAATGCAGGTGCAGTGGGCTGAAGGGCCTTTTTCTGTGCTGTAGATCTCTATGAGTCTAGACAAGGAGGAAGTATTTGAAATATAAGGAATGGTAACAGACAACACAGGCTTGTAGAAAAAAATCAGCAGAGGTGAATTGGGAAGGGTTTTGTTTACTGATTTGAGGTGTTTTGTTTTCTGGTAATCACACTTTTTGATTCAGAGGAATATCTTCATGCAGTGCATTTTTCACTGTTCTCCCTGTGCCTGGTGACTGGCACGTTATTGCTGCAGATTCTGAGGCACTGGAGCAATAAATGTGGCACCCTGGCAATATAGCCACGTGACAATCACTTCCAAGCTCTTGAAGGATTATATAGCAATGCAACGTCCTTACCTTCTAAAAAAAAATCGCTATATCAATATTATTCCAATCATTAACTTTCCATAATTATCCAAAGATTAATGATCACTTTTTGATTAAACTGAACATCTTCAGAGTCTTATAACTATTTTTTTCCTTAACATATTATTCATGCTATTGCTCTGGTGGTAAGATGTGTCTCTATCATGTAGGCTCAGAATTCAATGCTCCCGCTATGGGCTGACACGCTGCCTGGGCAATGTTGCAGCTGGTGTTGTAGGAGCTGTGTTTGATGTTGCTAATGTGCCTCTTGTTAGTGATACTGTTGATGTTGTTCTGTTGGCTGCTGACCATGCTGGTGTTGATTATCTTTCATTTTCCAGCTTGGGTATTGATTGAATATGAACTCTTGTTCCTTCTCATTTGCTCATCAGTTGCAGTTTAATGCTGGAGTTTCTGATTCATCATCAATGTTTACTAGATTTTCACAGCTTGTCCTTTCAACAGCTCAGCAGGGCATTAAGATCCTTATTAAAATCTTGACCTCCTTTTACCTGTGCATTAATGAGTAGCAGAGTGACAGGTTTCTCTCTACTGTAGTATGACAGATTTGTCTCCTTGCACGTGACTTCTCCGAGAATGTTGAAATTTTGTGGAGGTAACTCTGACCAAGCTACTCACCATCTTTCTTCATTAGCTCTCATAGGTTTACTATATTTCTTGATATGCAAAGCATGGAAGAACGCATGTCCTGGGTCATGCCAGGAAACTGCTCTCCTCTTGTCTCTTGAACTTTCATTTCAGAGGTAGCTGTAATTTTTTCAGGACTCAGCTTGACTCCATTGGGCATATACAACATTCTGAAGAACAGGCCTTCTGTCACCTTCACAATGCATTTCTCTGCAATCAGATTGATCGCAGATTTCCTGGATTGCTAGATTGTGTAGATGATGCTAAGGATGTTTTTCACCTACACTGTGGGTTTGGACATCATTAGTGATGCTGACCAACGTTTTACATCACCATTAGGTCATATCCACATTCTGATGGAACACATTCTCACCACTTCAAGGCCAAATCATCAACACAGGAATTTATACCAGCCACGTATATGCTGAATGTTGTCAGCAGTAAAAATTCCTCACCAGGCTTCATGTTCAGGAAGCCTTTTCCGACATTGGGTTGAGTGACTACATTACAGGTACACATCATGGTGTAATCTCTTCCAGGGGTTGGCATGAGGTCATGATTCCTCACTATTGCTTCATTAAGATCTTTGGGATCCAGGCAAATTCTCAGCCATCCACTTGGGTTCTCACTCACCAAAACAGGATTTACCCAGCTGTAGGCTCTGTGACTATAGCGATCACTCCATTTTTTTTCCACCTTTGGGAGTTCTATTTCAAGATGTCCTTTTTGTTCTATTCACATGGAGGTTAAATCACTGTCTGTACTGTTGGGTCAATAAGTAACATTCATTCTATACAAACGCCAATCAAAGACCATCTCCAGTGAGAGATGATCAGATCATTGCTCCTTGAGGATAGGAACACTGCGGCAAGTAACTCACCTCCTGATTCCCCAAAGCCTGTCCATGATCTACTCGCACAAGTCAGGATTGTGACGGAATACTCCCCACTTGCCTGAATGAGTACAGCTCCAACAACATTCAAGAAACTGGATACCATTCAGGACAAAAAGCCTGCATTTTGATTGACACTGATCCACCACCTCATCGCTCACTTCCTTCACTGCAAAGGCATAGGGCTCACAATCCTGAATTTCCTTCCTAACAACACTGTCCCTATACACCACAAGGACTGCAGAGGTTCAAGAAGGCAGGTCGCCAAAACTTTCTCAAGGGCAATTAGGGATGGTCAATTACTGCTGGCCCAACCAATGATGTCCACATCCCCTGGATAAATAAAAGAAATAATGACGTGATGGTCCTAATCTTCAAAATATCCTAACATCTCATTAAAATACACTGGACACATTTGTATCAGATCTTTCTAGCTTCTGATGAAAGGGGCTTTTCAATAGCTATATTACCTTCAGCCCTCAGTGTTGCCTCCTTCATCTGATAGTTTATTGAGATAAATTACAGTCCAACACAACCCCACGAAGGCAGAACCATTGTTTCTGTGATGTGGAATGTACAAATAACATCCTTTCATTTGCAGGTCCCTCAGGTTTGGGCTATTCCTTCCTGGCAAAGCACAGACTCTCCATAAGCCATTAGCATGATGTCGCTCAGTTTAAAAGCATCTTTCCTTGGGCTACAATTGCCTTTTAAATGTTCTAGAAAGATCTTCTGATCACATCTGAGTTCAATGATGTTACTCTGTACTCTGGTATCAAGCTTCAGCTCCAGCTTTATGGTTCTGGGTTTATTTCCCAATCTCCTCCTAGATTGAATGATCGTGTGAATTTCTTTCCTTTGGGAATTGTCACAGTTGGATATTTTCTGCAGTTTGACGGTCCCTGTATTGATTGTGTTTGAAAATTCTTCATCTTCCAGTTGCAGCAGCTTTGGTTTGTTTTCCTCCTTATTTGCCCTGTTGTTTTGTCTCAGATAACTCCTCAACTAACTGCTTTCCTTGTTCCACACACTCTTTCCTCGTGATTGCGTTTTCTTCAAACTCTGCAGTTAGATCCATATAAAAGACATTTCCTTCTGTCCATCCACAACTCCTGCATGTCTTTCATTCTTTTATTCCTCTTTTGATGCATCAGCTTAACTGAACTGAAAGCTAACTCTTTGGGTAGTCAGCATCTTCATCTATCTACCTGTCCTCTGGCAGTGTCTACCTATGTCCTGGCAGTGGTCCACAGCCTTGTGAACTAGTCCCTTCCAATCAAATTATTTTGTACTGCAGGGATTGCCGGGTTGTAAAGAAGCTCACCTCTCAGTCTTTCATCTGTATCCTGGACTTTGCACTTCTTAGTTGCGTTTTTCAATTTTGTTTGGAAACTGTCAAGAATTTACCTAAATTTCTTCCTCAGGTTTTGAAATTCATACCTGTTGGATCAGATGCTTTGACTTTGGCTGGAGATGTGTGCTGAACTTTTGTCTGGCTTTTTACTCCCATCCTCACTCTCATCTTCCATCTTTAAACGGACTCCAACCCTTCTCTCCTGCCCATGAAAGAATGTACCTGACACTTTCCTCTTCACTGGGGCATGATAGGAAACTTCTGAATGTCAGTCTACACTTTTGATTGAACTTTCCAAATGCCTCAACCTCATCAGCAGCTCCGCAGTACATTCAGGACTAATGCCGCATGCTCATGGCTGAAGGAAGCTTCTCACATTGAGCCACCCATTTCAGTTAAGCTTATTTAATCCAGTTCAACATTAAATCTATTTTAATGGTTTGCTTTGCTCACTGACACCTACTAAAGGCATGTCATGTTTAATTCCCATATGTTGAAAATAATACTTTCCATAACGAGTGTATTTCTTGCAGTTCACCTGCGAACTTAGTGTTTTTGTTATTATGACTCAGCACCTGTAAGCAGTGCAGCAGTAAATCTTAAACTCTGAATGTACAACTACAAAAGAATTAGTTCCTTGCTCTTTACAAATTAAAAAATTGCCTAAATCAAAAGGGAATTGAATTTATACTTGGAAAAAAACACAATTTTCAAAGGAACGAGGAGAGGACAGGTGGAATTGTAGCAGCTTTATAATTCTACCTGTACAGGCACAATGTGCTGATACAGTGCAGAAAGAGGTCAATCATTTGTGATAATTGATCCCCAAAAATATTCAGCCCAACATCTGTAAAAATTCAGCCCTGGTTCTCAGGCCACAGAGAACCATGAGCATCCAGCCACGACATTCACTGAAACAGAGGGGTCAATTCATCCCCTACTCACACTCACTTGCAGTCTTCTTCTGTCATTTTGGAGGGATCAGTGCAGCTGTAAAACTTTCCCTAAATTAAAGAAGATGATAAGTTAGCTACAAGCAGTGATTTTACATCGTCAGTTATCAACAGGAGGGAATTAATCCAGCACCAATTTCACAGCCCTGCCGTAAACTGAGAACCACTGGCAAGTTCTGCTCCAAGCCACACACACCATCATGTCTTGGAACCATATCACTGTCTCTTCACTGTAACGGATACTGAAAAACCTGGATCTCCAACATAACAGCACTGTAGGTGGACTTACACCTATGTACTGCAACAGTTCAAGAATTCAAAGAATTTTAAAAAGCACAATATATTAGCAACACTCCAGTTAGCCATCTGTAAACTATGGGGAGGTGATGGTGTACTGATATTGTCACTGGACTAGAAATCCAGGTAATACTCTGAGGAAAGTGATGGTGGAATTTCCATTCATACAATCTGGAATTAAAACGTTTATTGATGATTGTGAAACAACTGTAGGTTCACTAATCTTCCTTTAGGAAGGGAAATCCTCGTTCCTTACCTGGTGTGCCCAACATGTGATCCCAGACTTACAGCAATGTGGTTGACTCTTAGCTGCCCTCTCTAATGGCCCTAATAAGCTACTCAGTTGTATTAAACTGCTAAAAAAGTCTCAAAGGAAGGAAACTTGGCATCAAAGTAGGCATTGGAAATGAAAACAACAAACTCAGCCCTGCTGACCTTGCAAGGTACTCCTTATCAACTTAGAGTCATAGAGTCCTACAGCACGGAGACAGGCCCTTCGGCCCAAATGGTCCAAGCCAACCAAACTGTCCATCCACACTAACCCCATTTCCCTGCACTTGGCCCATATCCTTGTAAAAGCTTCTGACAGCCTGGGCCAAATTGGGAGAGCTGTCTCACAGACTGTTCAAGCAACAGCCTGACATAGACATTCTCACAGAATCACACAATGTCCCAGACACCATCATCACCGTTCATGGACATGTGCTGTCCCAAAGGCAGGACAGACCCAGCAGGGGTAACAACACAGCGATATTCAATCAGGAGTTGCCCTGGGATTCTCAACATTGACTCCAGAACTCCTTATGTATCGTAGCATCAAGTTAGATTTGGGGAAGGAAACCCCCTGCTGATTACCACGAACAACTGAAGGAGGCACTGAGGTTGGTAAGGGCACACAATGTACTCTAAGTGGGGGGCTTCAATGTCAGAGCTACTGAGAGTGGCTTGGCAGCACCACTACTGACTGAGCTGACCAAATCCTAAAGGACTTTGCTGCTGGACTGGGCCTATGGCACTTGGTGAGGGAACCAATGAGGGAAAAACATATTTGACGTTATCCTCACCAATCCGCCTGCTGCAGACGTATTTGTCCATGGCAGTATTGAGTGGCCACTGAACAGTCCTTCTGGTGACAAAGTACCATCTTCACACAGAGAATACCATCCAGTAACTTGTGTGATACTCTAATCATATTGAGCGGGCAAGATTTCAAACAGATCTAGCAACTCAAGGCCATCAGCAGCACCAGCAGCAGAATCTGTAACATCATGGTCCAGCAGATCCTCCACTATCAAGCCGGGGGATCAACCCTGGTTCAATGGAGAGTGGAGGAAGACATGCCAGGAGCAGCACCCAGCATACCTAAAAAGGATGTGTCAACCTGGTGAAATTGCCAAACAAGATCACTTGAATGTCAAACAGAATAAACAGCAAATGATAGACAGAGCTAATGCCACAACCAACAGATCAGATCTAACGTCTGCTGTCCTGCCACATTCAGCTGTGAATGGTGGTGGATGATTAAACAAATCAGTGGAGGAGGAGGAGGAGGCTCCACAATGAGGTAATGCAAACCATGGCAGGTATTATACAGTTAATAGCGGGGCTGAACAAAGAGACCGAGGGGTGCAGGTGCATAGTTCCTTGAAAGTGGAGTCGCAGGTGGAGAGGCTGGTGAAGAAGGCATTTGGTAAGCTTGCTTTAATTGGTTAGTGCATTGAGTGCAGGAGTAAGAATTAATATTGCAGCTGTACAGAACATTGGTGAGGCCATTTTTTAAATACTGTGTTTGATTCTGGTTTCCCTGCTATAGAAAAGATGTTGTGAAACTTGAAAGGGTTCAAAAATGATTTACAAGAATGTTGCCAAGACTGGACGGTCTGAGCTAAAAGGAGAGGCTGAATAAGGTGGGTCGTTTTTCCCTGGAGCATCAGAGGCTCAGAGGTGACTTTAAAGAGATTTACAAAATAACGAGAGGCATGGATAGAGTGAATAGCCAAGGTCTTTTTCCCAGGGCAGGGGAGTCCAAAACTAGACGACATAGGTTTAAGGTGAGGGGGAAAGATTTAAAAGGGGCCTAAAGGGCAATTTTGCATGCAAAGGATGGTGCGTATATGGAACCAGCTGTCATAGATGGTGGTGATAGGTGAAAATACAAAATTTAAAAGGCATCTTGATGGGTACATGAATTGGAAGGGTTTAAGAGAGATATGGGCCAAATGCGACTAGATCAGTTTAGGATATCTGGTAAGTGAGGATGAGTTGGACAGAAGAGTCTCTTTCCGTGCTGTAGAACTCTACAACTCTAAATTTACGCATCCTCAATGATGGAGGACCCCAGCATATCAGCGCAAAATAAAAGGCTGAAGCATTTGCAGCAATCTTTAGCCAGAAGTGCCAAGTTAATGATCCATCTCAGTCTCCTCCACTCCCCAGCATTACTGATGTCAGTCTTCAGCCAATTCGATTCACTCCACAGGCTATCAAGAAATCATAGAATAGAATCCCTACAGTATGGACGCAGGCCATTCAGCCTATGAAGACCACACCAACTCTCTGAAGAGCACTGCACCCAGACCCACCCCATCCCTGTAACTCCATATTTCCCTTGGCTAATCCACCTAACCTGCACATAATGGGCACACATAACCACACTATGGACAATTTAGCATGGTCAATCCACCTAGCCTGCACATCTTTGGACTGTGGAAGGAAACTGGAGTGCCCAGAGGAAACCTGCACAGACACGGGGAGAATGTGCAAACTCCACACAGATAGTCGCCCGAGGGTGGAATTGAACCTGGGTCCCTGGCGCTGTGAGGCAGCAGCGCTAACCACAGAGCCATCGTGCCGCCCCAAATGGTTGGAGGCACTGGATACTGTAAAAGTTTTGGGCCTTGACAATATTTTGGCAATAGTCCTGAAGACCTGTGTTTGAGAACTTGCTGAACCCTTAGCTAAGCTTTTTCAGTACAGATCCAACACTGACATCTACCCAACAAAACTGGCCAGGTTCCCTACATAAAATGCAGGAGAAATCCAACCTGGCCAGTTACTGCCCCATCAGTCTACTCTCGATCATCAGTAAACCTTTGGAAGATATCATCAAGCAGCACTTGCTTAGCAACAACCTGCTCACTGACGTCCAGTTTGGGTTCCGCTATGGTTATTCAGCTCCTGACCGCATTACAGCCTTGGTTCAACTTTTACAAAAGAGCTGAATTCAAGAGGTAAGGTGAGAATGACAATCCTTGACATCAAGGCTGCATTTGACCAAGTGTAGCACTAAGAGTCCCAAGCAAAACTGTAGTCAATGGGAATCACAGGGGAATCCTACTGGCATGTAGGAAGATGGCTGGGCCTTTTAGAGGGAGTCATGTCAGTTCCAGGACATCTCAGCAGTAGTTCCCCAAGGTACGCTGCTAGGCCCAGTCATTTTCAACTGTTTCATCAATGATCTTCCCTCCATCATAAGGTCAGAGGTGGAATGATCACTGGAGATTGCACAATTGCAGCACCACTCATGGACTTCTCACATACTGAGGCAAACCATGTCCAAATGCGGGAAGCCCTGGACAATGCCATGGTTTGGGCTGTCAACTGGCAAGTAACATTCGTGCCACACAAATGCCAGAGAAGACCACCTCCAAAAAGAGATAATCTAACCATTGCCTCCTTGAAATTTAATGGCATTACCAACACAGAATCCCTCACTACCAACATCCTGGGGGTTACCATTGACCAGAAACTCAAGTGGACTCGCCATATCAATACAGTGGCTACAAGAGCAGGTCAAAGGCTAGCAATATGGTAGCAAGTAACTCACCTGCTGACTCCCCAAAGCCTGTTCACTAGGCACAAGTTAGCAGTGTGATGGAATACTCCCAACTTGCCTGGAAGAGTGCAGCACCAACAAATCTCAGGAAGCTTGACACCATCTAGGACAAAGCAGCCCACTTGATTGGCACTACATCCATAAACATTCACTCCACTTTACCATCGATGCTCATTAGCAGCAGTGTGTACCATCTACAAGATGAACTGCTGAAATTCACTAAAGACCCTTAGACAGCACCTTCCAAATCCATAACCACCATCAGCTAGAAGGGCAGAGCAGCAGATACATGGGAACATCACCACTTGCAAGTTCCCTTCCAAGTCACACACCGACCTGACTTGGAAATATATCACTGTTCTTTCAGTGTTGCTGGGTCAAAATCCTGCAACTTCCTCCCTAATGGAATTGGAGGTTTACCTAGAGCACATGCACTGCAGTAGCTCAAGAAGGCAGCTCACCACCAGCTTCTCAAGGGCAACTAGGGACAGGCAAGAAATGCTGGCCCAGCCAGCAATGCCTATATGCCATGGGTGAATGAAATGTTCTGCTCCAGCTGGAATAGTGTGTCTGGTTCAGGCACCACATTTTAGTAAGAATTGTGAAGGCTTTGGAGAGGGGTTGATCTGTGGAAGAGGGATTGTGGTACATTTGGACAGACAGTTATTCTCCATTCAGCACAGAAAGCGGAGAGGAAATGTGATGGAGGAGTTCAAAATCATTAGGATTTTGATTAAGTAAAACAAGAAAAGCGCTTCAATAGGCTGAAGAATCAATAACCAATGGACATTGATTTAAGGTGATTGACAAAGAACCAGAATTGATGTGAGGAATAACTATTTGAAATGACAGGTGGTTTCTATTTGGAATATGTTTCCTGGTGGATACAGATTCAATTACAATCTTCAAACAAGAACGGAATGAATACTTGAAGAATATAATTGAAAGGAAATGGAGCAAGAGAGGGTTTGTGGGACAAACCGAGCTACTTTCAAAGAGCCACTCAGTGGGGTGAATGGCCTCATATACAAAACAATCTGGCAAGAATGTCAAGTCTCAGTCAAAATTTCCCAGTAACGATTCCTCAGCCTTCTGACTCAGTAGAGTCATAGAGTCATACAGCACTAAAATAGACCCAGCGATAGTAAGAACTGCCAATGCTGGAGTCTGAGATAACACAGTGTGGAGCTGGAGGAACACAGCAGGCCAGGCTGCATCAGAGGAGCAGGAAAGCTGATGGTTCGGGTCAGGACCCTAGAAGGTCCCTAGAAGGGCAAGAAATGCTGGCCAGCCAGCTATACCCACATCCCACAAATGAATAGAGAAAAAAAAATTGCCATCATTTAGTCCACATCCCTCCAAGCCCTTCCTATTCATGTACCCATCCAGATGCCTTTTAAATGTTGTAATTGTACCCGCTTCTACCACATCTTCTGGCAGTTCATTCCATACACGCATCACCCTCCGTGTGAAAAAGTTTCCCCCTAAGTCCCTTTTATATCTTTCCCCTATCACCTTACACCTATACCCTCTAGTTTTGGAATTCCCTACCCTGGGAAAAAGGCCTTGGATACACACTCCATCCATGCCCCTCATGATTTTATAAACCTCTATAACAGGGAAAACAACCCCATCCTAGTCAGCTTCTCCCGACAACTCAAACCGTCCAACCCCAGCAAAATCCTTGTAAATCTTTTCTGCACCCTTTCAAGTTTAACAACATCTTCCCTATAGTTGGGAGACCAGAACTGAACACAATATTCCAAAAGTAGCCTAACAAATGTACTGTACAGCCACATCATGACCTCCTAACTCCTATACTCAATGCACTGACCAATAAAGGCAAGTGTACCAAACACCTCCTTCCTACCCTGTCTACCTGTGACCCCACCTTCAAGGAACTACGTACCTGCACGACAAGGTCTAATAACAGTTCAACCACATGCCTCAGCTATATTCAACTCAAAGGACCAGGAATAATCAGCTCTGCATCCAGCAGTAATTGCTCACCGCTGATCACAGTATTATATGGTCCACCCAGTTATTGAGTAATTATTAATCACCACCCTGACACAGTAATGATTGGTCAGCTCTATATTTGACATTTTCACAGATCCATGTGAAAGCCAATTTCTCTGGTCTTGTCTGGGTAGGTTTGATTAAATGGATGGAGCCAATACAGGGCTATTTTACAGAAAACGCAAAGTACTTTCACAAACTGCCTGTTTTTCTACCCATCAGCCAGACCATCAGAAAGATATACTGATTGTATTTGGCTCCTGCCTGATTTTCTGGCCTCATGTCCCAGGTTGATCCTGTGCAGATTGCAATGCTTCTGCCACTTTATTCTGGGTACTGTGACTGCTATCGACCTGAAACAGGAGACTGGATTCCAGAGTTCCAGTTATCAGCAATGGCTCGTTTAGTATCAGTGTCAGCACGATCTCAAACCGGGCTCTCACCTTGAAAAGTTGCACCCCGAGGCAGGCAAACACAAACTGTAAGAGGGTGGTAACAATCACAATGTTCCCTATGGTCTTAATGGCCACAAAGACGCATTGAACCACATGCTGCAAGAAAGGCAGAGAGACAGAAAATCGGCATTGGCACTGCAACAGTTTTTTTTGGGTGGGGATGGGGGTTTCAGGAAGGCTTCACAATACAGGCTGATATTGACTCACAAAACACCCATTAGAAAAGCCAGTGCAAAGGCAGACGTAGGGAGGGACTGAAAAGGGGGTTACAGATGAATGAGGGAAGGTGGAGTTGAGCATAGGGGATGGGGTGGGCAAAGAGGGACTGGGGATGGGCATGGGTGTGTGAGAGGTGGGAGCTTGGCGCAGGGGAATGAGGAGCAGTACAGTGGATGAGGGATACCAGGATTGTGCACAGGAAAATGAACTGAACTATGGTTGTGGGTTAAGGAGGTGGTAGCAGGGCACAGGGAAGCTGGGGTGGGTACAAAATGTTATGGAACTGCTCGTACTGAACCGTGCAACACACATCTTGTCATGACAAGTACAACAATTTTTATACAGCCTTAAACATAAGGGCAGGGGACCACAAGTGTATTCAGAGGTAGCTCGATCAGCGACTTCCTAAAGGAAGAGAGACACTGGAGACTCAGCAGCTGGGGACTTTTTCAGAGGATTCCTGATGCCCATCAGAAGGTTCAACTTCCTGTATGAACAAGGACCTGGAGTAGGCCATTGAGCCTGCTCTGTCATTCAATAGGATCATAGCCTCAAATCTGCAAACCCACATATCCCCCTGATCACCTTTCATTCTGTTGCTTAATAAGATCTAGCTACCCCTGTACTAAAAATATTCAAGGACTCTGCTCCCAGCATCTTTGCAGGAAGAGAGTTCCAAAGGCTCTCGACCTGCTCAGAGAAAGAACGGTTGTCTCATCTCTTCTTTAAATGGGCCACTGTCTTTGGTCCCTTACATGAACTCTGCTCCCTTTCTCTGGTCAGTCTGAAGTTGAAATAGGCTGTTTACAACCTCAATATCCTCCTTAACCTGAGAGGAGCTCCCGAACACATATTAATTTTCTCAGCAATGCCACCTACTACCCCCTCCTTGGCACTGTTGAACTCTGCCCCTGCATCTACTCTTGTCACACAGTTGATCCCCCCAGAATTATTCATTCCCATACCCTGCTGGGTGAGTCAGCCGAACACTTCTGTAGATAACAAACTTTAGCTCATCCCAAACCCTGCTACCTGTGTCCTAACAAACGCTCAGCAACTCCTGAGTTTCAAAATTCTCATCCTTGTTTTCAAATCATTCTATTGCTCCTCCCATCCCTAGTTCTGAAACATTCTCCAGCTCCACAACCCTCATATTTCTGCACTCATCAATTCTGGCCTCTTGAGCATCCCCAATTTTAATCACTCCAACTCTGGTGACCATGTCTTCAGCTGCCTGGGCTCTAAACTCCAAATTCCCTCCCTACACATTTCCAACCCTGTACTTGATTTAATACAATCTTCAAAACCCACCTCTTTCACTAAGCCTTCGGAATCTGCCCTAATATGTCCTTATGTAAGTCATTTGAGGTTGGGCCTTGGGATGTTTTGACGCATGAAAGGTGTTTTATGAATGCAAACTCCAGTTGTTGTTAAACTAAAAGGAGATTCAGTCCAAAATGTCAATGGGTCTGACCCCATGTCTATTTGACTGCAGGAGCACGAATGGGTCTCAAACCTTCAGTTAATCCCTATTTTAAACTTAAGTAACAGAAGGGATAATCAAGAAAACTGAAATCAAGCTTTACTATTGGCCCCGGTGCATACGTATAATGAATTGTTGCAAATGCACAGATATTATTACACACCTATAAATATACATATATTCATGCACACACAGATAAACATGCACACATAAATGCACAAGATATATGGGCACACACAGATTATATATACATATATCTGTACATCCACACGTAGATTAATATGCTCACATATACACAAACATGCACACATGCATATATATGCGTGCACACACATATACAGATTAACATGCGCACATATACACGTACACATCCATATATACATATATATACATGCACACATATACACACACCTGCATAACATATAAACACACACATTTACACACACAAGTGCACACATGTATTGACACACTCATGAATGTGTACTGATGTGTAGTCACACATGATGATCAGAGTCATACACCTTATTAAACACAAACATCTGTGTTTACATGCATATGCATACTCACACTTGCATGCATACCTAAACATGTTGTGAGGCATGTATTCAAACACAGACTCATACATAGGTGCACCCGCACATGCACAACGTACAGACACACACCTGTTCTCAAACACCCACATAGGTGTACACATAAATCATAAATTCACATATACACACTGACTCACACATACATGTACATATGTACATGTACATACATGTACAGTTGCAGTCACACAGGCACATTCTCCACACCTTGGCTCACCTTTAATCCCTTGGCTCTGTTAATAGCTCTCAAAGGTCTGAGCACTCGGAGGACTCGAAGAATCTTTACCACAGAGATAGCACTTGACCTGGAAAAGAAAGGTAAGCACTGAGCTCCTTAACTGAACACACTGCAGGAGGAATTCATGTATGGTCTCACTCACTGACTTTCTCACTCATTTACCTACTCACACATCTTCTCATTCACACAGCTTCTCATTCACTCCATCAGAAAAATCCCAAGAAAACTGTCAGCCTGGATACTAGAACTCAGTAAATCTGTATTTGCTCAATCCCAGTCAATCTCTAGAACATACGCTGCCTCTGTAAACGCTCAGTTATGCAATTCCTGAGGAAGCTGTCATTCATTTAGAAGGTCTTACTAGAAGCAAGTAATGAGGCAAATCAACAATTGTAAAGTTATGTAAAATTAAATCATCTCAAACACTATATTGTACAAGAAAAATCCAGCAGGTCTGACAGCATCTGTGGAGACAGAAACAGAGTTAACGTTTTGAGTCCAATACGACTCTTCTTCAGAATTGATGTCCAGCTCCCAGAGTACTTTGCTTTAACTACATTATACTATATGGTGCTACAATCAACCAGAATAGGATGTTACACAATGTGGTAACACAGTGATGTGGAAAAGCACAATGCACTTAACATTGGATAGGAGAATGTTACATTAAACAAAACAAACTGCAATTTACATCAAAGAATTATTCAGGATCACAGAGCTGGAATGCTCTTCAATGGATCGGTGTGGACTCAATGGGCCGAATAGTCTGCTTCCACACTGCAGGGATTCTATGATTCAGGGCTATTACTGTCTTTTGCCTCCTTATATGCTTTTCCATTCAACCTAATACTCTCCTTAACTTCCTTGGTTAGCCACAGTTAGTTTATCATTCTCTTAGAATCTTTCTTCCTGACTACAAAATATATTTTCTGAGTCATAAATTACCTCTGCTTGCTGACTGTTTTTCCTGCTACTCTATCTGCACAGTCCACTTCAGCTAACTCTATCTGCACTTCATTATCCTTCCCTTTATTTAATTTAAACCCAGTTATTTGCCATCCAAGTTTCTCACTCTCAAACTGAATATGAAATTCTACCATGTTATGATCACTACTTCCGAGGGAATCTTTTATCTGAGGTCACTTATTAAACATGCCTCATTACCCAGTACCAGATACAGGTCAACATGTTATCCGGTTGGCTCCATGACATATTGCTGTAGGACACTATCCCTAATGCATTCAATGAATTTATTCCAACTCGACTGACTCAGTCAACACAAAAATTATTCATAGAATCATTGAATCCCTACAATGCTGAAGCATGCATTTGGCCCATCCGGTCCACACAACCCGCCAAAGAACATCCTACCCAGACCCATACCCTTTCCTATCCCTGGAACCCTGTATTTCCCATGGCCAATCCACCTAACCTGCACATCTTTGGACTGTGGGAGGAAACCAGAGCACCCAGAGGAAACCCACGCAGACACGGGGAGAATGTGCAAACTCCACACAGACAGACACCTGAGAGTTGAATTAAACCCAGCCTACTGCTGCCGTGAGGCAACAGCGCTAACCACTGAGCCACCACGCTACCATTATTGCTCTATTCTACTGACATACTCCTATTATTTGTTGATTTATAGTTTTTCTTACAGTGTGGCTACCGTTTGGGGGTCTATACCTGTACATTACTCCTACCAATGTCTTCATTCCCTTGCTGTCCTTTACTTCCACCCAAATGGACTCTACATCATCCAAGTCCAGACAATTGACCTCATTTTGTACTTATTAACTGTGCTGCCCCAAAAGGGATGATAGAACAGTGATGTTGAACAGATTTTGTTATAATGACCTCATACCCACTGGATTAACAAAGGTGGCAGGAAGCTGATATAGAGCATTCACTTCAGGATGAGCCAGTTGGACTGAACCAGTCTTCACTCACTCACACTTTCAAAAATATAAAACAGACAAATTATAAAAATTGCAACATGAAACTTGGAGTGTTGTAAACCATGCAAAGGTCATTAACAAAGATCAGGAGGACACAGTAAGACCTAATGAAAATAGGCAGACACGTGGTAAGTGAATTTTAACAGCAAATACAAAATGAAACAGTTTGATAGAAGAGTCAATTTAAAGGGAACTGTAGAGGGAGATCTGGGGCTGTCTAATTTCTGAATGGGCAGAACAAGTTGAAACGTCTGTTTAAAAATTAGTATTTGGTATTGTGCCCTTATTAATACAGTCATGGAATACAAAAACAGAGAAGTTATCTTAATTCTTTATAAATAAGTGGCCAACCCTCAGTTGGAGTAATCTGTTCGATTCTGACATGAAGAGATTTCCCAGAAATGTAACAGGAATGAGCAAATTCAATTCAATGGAGAAAGAGAGAAGCTGAGCTTCTTCTCCTAACAGCAGAGAAGGATAAGATTTAACAGCAGGGTTCAAAATGATGAACAGGTATGATACAGTAAGCTGTATCCAGTGGCTGTGTGTTTGGTAAGCAGTGGATTTAAAGTTATTGTCAGCACAGGAGAGGTGATGAGCAGAAATTGTTTCGAGCTGTAATATGATCTGGAATGCACAGCCTGGAAAGATGTGAAGGCTGGTACAACCAGAATTTCTACAATGACATTGAATAAATGACTGAAAAGGATAAATGAGCAATGTAGTGGGGGAAAGCAAGGGGTGAATTGGCTAGCTCTCCATAGTAGTTGCAAAGGAATGATGGGGCTGAACAGTCTTCTTCAGCATGGCATTAACCAAGGATTCTAATAAAACAAACTGATATCAAACAAGACAAGGGGCTGGAGATGCCATCTTACTCACTGAATTCCAAAGGAGATGAGGGAGACACTGACGACCAACAAGTCCAGGATATTGAAGTAATTCCGACAAAAAGAGCCTTTATGTAGGAAGGCACCATATGTTGTCATCTGTTGGGGTTTGGAAGTAGACAGAAAGACAGAGAGTGATAAAGAGCAAAGAACAATAGACAGTGAGTGAGAGGGGTGCCTGAAGTATGGTGATGACAATAGAGAGGGGAGAAACTATGAGAAACTGAAAGAGAGAATTAAAAACAGCTATCGAGATAGTTACGTTTGTAAGGAATTTTTGATTATTTTGAAAACTATGTCAGAGAATAGTAGGAACTCACAGAACAGGATGAGATCACTCCATGCTTCATGCCTGTGCTGATCCATCTAAATGACAATCATCCTGTTGTGCAACTTTTTGTCTGTATTCTTTAAGTTGATTAACTCCAGTGCTTGACAGCTCTCTTTTCAAACATTTGTGCTCTCAGCTTTCATCAGCCTCTCAATTTGAGCTTTTCATTAACAAAATTCTTATCCTCCCTCTCGATCCTTTTCCAATGATTTTAGAATCTCTGGCTATTGATACATTTGTCAGAGGAAGCCTCATCTTTTCAGCGTTTATTTTATCAAAACATTTTAACGTCTAGAAAACCTCCCCAGCTGAGCTTGACCGTCACTTCAAAATCCCTCCACCGCGGCTTCTCCAGATCTATCCCACCGCAGCTTCCCCAGGTCTATCCCACCGCAGCTTGCCCAGGTCTATCCCGCTGCGGCTTCTCCAGGTCTTTCCCACCGCGGCTTCCCCCGGTCTGTCCCACCGCAGCTTCCTCAGGTCTGTCCCACCGCGGCTTCCCCAGGTCTATCGCACCACGGCTTCCCCAGGTCTTTCCCACCGCGGCTTCCCCCGGTCTATCCCACCGCGGCTTCCCCCGGTCTGTCCCACCGCGATTTCCCCAGGTCTATCCCACCGCGATTTCC